ATGGAAAACACTAGCTTAAGGTGGTTGAATTTTATTGCCGCCCTGGGATTTTGTCCCTTAGGATCACTGGGGACATTAGGGTTTGTCCTTTTTGTTTTACCTTTTCCTCCATCCATCCCTCCCTCCTTTCTCTTCCTCTCTTACATCTTCTGTCCTTTCCTCTGTTCCCCTCCCACCACCAGGAGGACTCGGTGTGTGTGTGGTGGGGGGAGCGCTGCAGAGGGGACAGGGACAATTCTCCAACTTTGGGCAGTCGAGAGCCTGGATGAGAGAAGGGGCGTTAAAGCCCTTTGTAAAGGAGAAAGGGGAGTTTCACGGTGTTGAGCACCAAGGAATTCTAAACTTTGCTAAAACATCTAGTCTGCAGAAACCAGAAATGGTCGGGGCCACATTGTAACCATTGTCTTTTTTAAAGCCCATTGAGGGATGTGAGTCCCACCCTTTTAGGTTTCTGGGGTGCTGGGAGGAGAGAAGAGGTGCCTGTCTCCATTTTATGGCCTCAACAAACTAGGTGCTGTGTCCCAGTTCTCGTCAAAGATCCCTGAAAAAGAACATCTTCCCATCCATTAACATACCTGGAAAGATACTGGAACTCCTTATTAAACAATCAGTTTGTCAGCACCTACAGGACAATTTTGTTATTAGGACTAGTGAGCATGGACTTGTCAAGAACAAATCATTCCAAACCAATCCTAGCTCCTTCTTTGGCAGGGTTACGGGCCTAGTGCAGGTGGGTAAACAGTAGATGTGATCCATCTTGGTGTTAATAAGGACATTCTCGCAAACAAACTAGGGAGAGGTGGTCTAGATGCAATTAGTATAGTATGTGTGCACAGATGGTTGCAAGCCCGTACTCCAACAGCCCAGAACCAAACACTCCTCTTCCTGGGCAGTGCGCTCCGACCTCTAATGGTCAGATGCTGCTTAGCACTGTCAGAGCAGCTTTTGCTGGGGGCTTCTCCCAGCACTTTCCAATAGTGGGAAAGTATGAAATCCCCATTTGACTGCTGGGGACAGAGCCTAGAGCGGGAAGCAACTTACCCAAAGTCCCACAGGTCAATAGGAAACCAGCAATGGAACCCAGGAGTCCTGACTCCCAGTTCCCTCCTCCAATCACTCCAGCGGAGCGCACTCCCTCTCAAAGCAGGGGGACCGGACATGAAGGCCTGGTTGTAATTGCCAGCTATGGGAGGGAGTGTGCAGCAGTGGTTAGTGAAGGGGCCTGGAAATAAGGACTGCTGGGTCCCATCCCTGGCTCTGACACTTGGTGTGACCCTGAGCCAGTAGCTTCCCCGCCCCAGGCCTGTTTCCCATCAGTAGAGTTGGGGTCGCAGCCCCTACAGCCCAGGGGGGTTGGGAGGCTCCAGGAAGGTGTGTAAAGTGCCGGGATGTCAGCATCCCAGAGGCGCTGTCACCCCCGCACTAGGCCAGTGTTCTGCACCCCCTGCTGCTGGCCGAGTTTCTCTGTCCCTTGGCAATAAGACAGACTCTTGTTTTCACAGCCAGTCGATCGCCCAGTGCTATCACATTGCCTGCTGGCTGGGCAGGGTAACTCCTCAGGTCACCACCACCCTCTCCAGCCTGCCTTGGCTTTGGGGAGTGAGGAGAAGGGCAAGGGATGACACTGAACATCCTCCATCCATCGCTCTGTAAGCAGAGCAAGTGAGTGGAATTAGGGTTCCCCGTTGGCGTCCCCTGTCTGTCTGGGGAGAGGCAGAAAGAGGGGGAAAGAATCTCTCCCAAAGGAGATTGGATTTGCAAACCACCCCCAGGAGCCCCTCGCTCTCAGACCAGGGAGAGGCTTCTCCAGAGCCGTCTCCAGTGTGTTTGGAAAGGTCCCAGCAATGGGGCTCCCAGCCCTTCCCTTGTGGGAGACCGTTCCCCAGGCTGAGCGTTACTGAGCTGGGCCAGACCCTGTGAGCTGCTGAGCATGGAAATCAATGGGAAAGGCAGGGGTCCTGGCCTTGCTCTGCCTCAGGACTTTGACGTGGGGAATGGTTTCCCAGGAGAAGTCCGGACTCCTGGGTTCTGTTCCTTCTCTAGCCTGTGGGGGAGTTTGGCCTGGGACGGCAGGAGAGAGCTGCTTGTCCAAAGTGACTGAACCCAGTGATGGAAAAGGAGGAGACTCCCCGGGCATCGCAGCCACAGGGGTGACGAGAGGGAACGCTGGGAGCCGATCATGCAATGAACTCCTGCCAGTGCGTGTAGATTGCATTACATGCACCGCTGTGGGGGGAGGAGGAGCTGCTCTGGCTGGGGCAGGGATGGGGAGGGACCAAACAGGCTGGTTAGTGAGAGGCTGCCTTGACCCCAGACTCACGCCCGCTCCCCGCTCGGTTCCAGGATGGCCAGCCTCCTGAGGATGTTCAGGAAGAAGGCTCTGCAGGTGGCCCCAGAGCCTGAGGGAAGCAGCTGCCATCTTCCCCAGGAGCAGAGCGGCCCCTCCGTCCCTGCTGGCAGGGAAGGAGCTCCCGGCCAGGCCGGGAGGTAGAAGTGCCCAGCCTTCTGGCGGAGAAAACCCGCTCCCAGCGCAGGCGCCGAGGTGGGAGAGGCCAGGTCGAAATAGAGCTGGGCCAGGCTGCGGCTGGGCAGGCAAGACCCAACGGAGGAGGGGAGCCGGGCTGAGTGACTCTGGGGCATGTTGTGTGGGCAGGAGCGGGCAGGGATGGCGTGGGCTGACGCCGTGGGG